TTCACAAAAATTCTAAAAAGTATTTTTTAATGTTTTACCTTAATATTCAAAGGAAAGACCACTTATTGAAATAAAACAAACAACTATGTTATTACTATAATCCAGTGTTTCTCAAACTTTTTTGGTGACGGAACCTTTTTTGAAAAGCGAAATATTTGACGGAGCCCTAAACATATTTCTAAAAAAACAAAAAAGTTACTCCCAGCAAAATCATGTCCTCCTTATTCTTAATGACTTCTAAAAAAAAAAGATCCTTAAGCCAGCTCCCTCCTTTGTGTGACGATAGTACTGCTTTTTTATTAGTATTAGGGCTATTATTTTCTTCGCGAAGCCTCCACAAAGGCTTTGCGCAGCCCCAGGGTTCCGCGGAGCACACTTTGAGTATCACTACTCTAATCAATGGTTTACATTGAACTAGAAAATTATCTAAGGTAGTACGTTAATATTTTAAAAAGTAAAGCTGTCACTAAAGTTTTTGGTTTATATAGAGAGACTAGACTCTAGTAAAGAAAAAGCCGAGCAAGTCCCGAAATACCGTAATGTGTATAGTTTTGCGAAACGATTTGTTAATATGGGTACATATCTTTAAATTATTTAAACATATCATTTGGTTTTGTTTTGAGTATATCTTATATTATTTATTAATATTTACGCGAAATTGTTATTAGCATTTATAAATTAACTTTTTACGCCAATGTATCGTGTTTACTTCGGTTAGCTTCGCCGCAAAACTGTAAAATCCTGTGTACAAAGTGGCAGAACTAGCAAAAGTCTTTCCAACTCCTATCCCTGCTAAATTCTCAGTTGATATTTGCTTCGACGAAAAGAGACAGATGATACACACGACGTCACCAGCAAAATCCGCATTTGAATTGATTAAGTAGCGTCGGGGACTCTAAAAATATTAAATTATGTTAAAACTTACATGGAATCGTTGACAAAATACAAACATTAGTTAGTCCTTTAATTAGGTAAATTATTATTTTAATATTTTAATAATTAATTATAAACTTATTTGTACCGACGCAACAGATAACAAGAGTACGTATTTTGACATTTGACAATAGACAAAAGACATAAACAGACTGACACAAGACAATGACAAGTAGATCGGAACGTTCCAGAGTGATTTTTGAGTCAACCAGATTAGACAATAAATAATTTGATGGATGTATGAAAGGATACCTTTGCAAAAGTCTTTCAAAGCAAATATAACATCGAATTTGCCCATTTACATGATTTTAGAATGTGTTCAGACCATGTTAGTTCTGAATCTACATACGAAGACACTTGCGCCAAATTGTGGTACCGAGCGAGTAACGAAGACGTGGATTATTTTTGCCGATATGTAACACCACACACTTGTTTATATTTAACGGAAGAAAACAGTCCGAACATCATTTTAAATATTATCGTAGTTTACTAAGGGATTTCCGTTAAATTTTGTGTCATCTGCATAAAGTGCTCTTTGAGACTGGATATGGTAAGGTAGATCGCTCGAATAAGTTATAAAAAGAAGCGGATCCAGTATCGAGCCTTGAGGGACACCACTTGTCACTAATCTATCTGATGAGTGGGACTGAGCAACTTTGACTCGAAAGCTTCTATTTCCTAGATAATTGTAAATCCATGACAATAATTTTCCTCGAATGCCAAATGACTCGAGTTTGTGCTGCAGTCTGACGAAAGAGACCCTGTCAAAAACCTTCGCAAAGCCGAGATAAATGACATCAGTTGCTTGTTTGCATTCGAGTGAGCGAGGCCAATCGTTAATGCAGCATAAAAGGTTTGTTGTTGTAGATTCACATTTAACAAAACCGTGTTGTTCCTTTGGTATTGCGTTATTCTCTTTGAAAAAGTTAGTCATGACATTAACTACGAGCTTTCCATGATTTTTGATGGGATAGACAGGAGAGTTATTATAGGACTGTAATTTGTAGCACTTATTTTGTCACCCTTCTTAAATATAGCTGTGACTGACGTAATTTTCCATAAGTCGGGTAGGGTAAATGTATTAAAAGACATGGTCATGATTATGGAAAGCGGGCCGGATAATGTGTTTGCATACTTTTTTAAAAAGAAAGAACTTAATCCAGTTAACAATGTTTTCTTTATAGTCCTTTCTCGCTGAGCGAATGGATAGTTTTAAGAAATTAGAGAAATTTCTGTGAGAACGGAAGTTCTGTATATTTTTGAAAATATTGTACTTTCTCCAAAATCGCCGTTTATGATAAATTAAGTATACGGTATCACTATTTATCCAGGGGTTTAACGGATTTCTGCGATACTTCTTACTAAAAGAATGTTTAATAATTATTGTATTAATGGTGTATAGAAAAGTGTTCCACATATCATTTACATTGTTAAACTTTTTTAAAAGATCATCGAAGTTGATAACTTCTAATTTTATTTTGACATCATTATAATTGACCACCCTGTATAAATCGTACGTCTTACTGTTAACACTTTCAATATGAACTTGGATCTCAGCTATTATTACTGAATGGTCGAAAATGCCTATCGGGGAAAGATGTTGAGGTTCTGTTGTAAGTTGTTCATCATTTGTGATGATAAGATCTAGAATAGTGGGTTCTTTATTAATTCAAAACCTGGTTGGATTATCTATTAATTAAAAGAAATTGGAGTCAACAAAAAATTGCATAAAATTACTTGTTGAAGTGTCTGAGTCTGGAATACGAGATATAGGCCAGCAAATATTAAAATCTTCAACTGCAATTGCATTTTGGAGAGTTGAAAGGTGGTTAAGTTTATCAATTAATAGCTTAGTTGTATCATCGCAGGAACCACCAGGTCTATATATACAAGCAAAACTAATATTGAAGAGACCTTTAGAAACGATGAGCAGTAAAAAATCTATACCTACTATTTTTGGGATGTCAGTGTTAATTGAAAAGTTTCAAGTTATTTCTTCACAAATATATATACAAACCCCGCCACCTTTTTTCAGTAGTCTATAAGATCGGAATATGGTGTATCCATGGATAGAAACAAACGCGTCTATATCTGATGGTTTTAGCCAGGTTTCCGTGATGAATAATAAATGCTGTTTAGGATCTTGAACATTACATACTTGAACATTACATAAAAACTCGTCAAATTTGGCCTTCAGAGAATCCAGGTTAGTATATAAAAATGACCAAGAAGTACAAGGGGCAGAGTTAAACTTGAAAGTTAGAGTTTTTAACAATTTTAGGCACACCTTGCAAATACTTAATGGTTATGTCTGTTTCTCCATTTTGCTTTCTGTTTTCTAGGTCGACCCGTAAATCTTTAATAACTTGAACTTGGATAGACGTTTGATGGGTAATTACTGAAAGGTTTTTAGTTGTAGGGTGTTCAAGTAGTTTCTTTTTATTTCTTAATACATCATAAGTTTAATTATTCGTGGGTACTCTGAGTTTGACTGGGGCTTGCCTAGTCGGAAAAACGCTACGGAAGTGGAAGCGCAGCCAACAGATTGTAAAACTTGTTTAACTGCAACTTCGTCATGCTTCTTTTTAGTGTCGTTATCAACAGGGGCTTTAGTAATTCCCCGCACTATAACATTCTTAGCTCGGTTCATTCTATCATGTGCGGGGTATTTAAATGTTCAAAGTTGGATAGTTTTTGATTAATTTCACAGAATTTTATTTTCATTTCATCTAGTTCCTTGCTTACATCGTTTTTAAGAGATGCTGGGAAAGTTTTAATAATATTATTAATATTCTAGGACCAATATTTTTAATGATCTGAAAAAATGGTAGGTATTTAAAAAAAGTTATTTGTTTTAACGAGTTCTATAAGCTCTTTAGAAATAGAACCACTCTGCATATGGTACGTCGCCTTTTATTCCAATCCAAATTAATAAATTTATAATTAAAAAAACCAAAAAAGGTTGACAGCTGTGTGCACGTAGTTTAGATTCAAAAAGGAAAAACTTGTATTTCGTGCAAAACTTTTTTATTAATAAAAAAGTTTTGCACGAAATACAAGTTTTTCCTTTTTGAATAAATTTATAGTTGGGTAAGATTTGTTTAAAGCTGTTATACTCCAGTCGTATAAAGCCAAGTATCTGGAACCTATTTCTTTTTAATACTGAGCAGATTTAACTTCTACGCTACATAACTGACAGTCCGATCTTTGTTGTAGATCTATTTTTTCTATATGAGTACCTAGATGGCATAGTAGTGTCATCAGTCCCATAAGAATGCGTAGATTATTCCTACTCCATTTAGGAATTAAAGCAGAGGCGTTTATTATAGGGATTGGCATAAATGCCTTCGAATAAGTTATCTTTTTGCTACATAAATGTTTTACCCTACGTCCAATTAAAGATAATTACTTTGGCAGTGATTTTCGCAATACCAAGGAATGATTCTGATCCTATTAACTCGTTTTTTTTTTATCAAACACGTCAGCTACTTTTCGTTTTACTTAAAACTTTTACTTTTACTAATAAAAAGGTTATATTATTAGTTCATTTTATTCTGAGACTCAAAAAACATATATTTTCATCTTGGACAGTTTTTTTTTATTTTTTAACAACAAAAAAGCGCTAAACCGAAGAACCTTAACCTTCCTTCTTCTTCTTTTTATCTTTTGACCGATAACTTTTTACTTTATGAGCCTGGGCCTATAACCTATGAGGGTTTGTGGATTAAGCGAAATCGTTTTGGAATACTTTTATTTGAAAAAGAACTTTAAAAGATATATAAAAGAAATAGTGAACAGTTTTTATCAACACTTGTAACTTGTGCTTTGCTTATGCGCCATCTTGTTCTTGTTCTTGTACAAGTACTGTTACCAACTTACATATATTTTGGTCCAAAAACTAACTAGATTTAACATTGTTACCAACAGAAACATTCATAGTATTACTCGCACTACTCGCACTACTTTATAAATCATAAGGAAACACATAATAATATTAAAACACAATTTTTTATGAAGAAACAACTATTTAACAGCTCAGTTGCTCACTTCCCTACTTTTTATTTTAGTATAGCATCGTCGTCTTTGCAGTTTTAGTCGCAATTATATTTGCCGCAGAAGAAAAATCTTCAACGGAACGATCGTCAGTATCCGATGATGCAATAGATGCCACATTGAAAGATAAAAGGTATCTAATGAGGCAGTTAAAATGTGCTTTAGGAGAAGGTCCATGTGATCCAGTTGGTCGCAGACTCAAAAGTAAGTATTCATCAGAGAATCAATTTGATAGAAATGAATTCGACTTTTCGATACCAAATTTAGCAGAGATTGAAAGCCACAAATGACTGTCGATTGACAGACAAAATTGTCATTGCAAGGAAAGAGATGAGGTAACAGATGTGTTTCGAAAATAACGGTATGAAAGACATACCGTTACAAATCACTAATACTTTACTCTGGTAATGAATTAATTTTTTTAAATTAACCATTTTGACAAACTTCCCATTGACATTTGGCCTAAATCATTGTTATGTTACTCCACATACTTTGATTTTCTTTTACTATACGGAGAATGGTCGCACTGCGCAGCTTTCTGAGTGCCTTTTACAAGGAGATAGAAAACTCCGCCATTTTGAACCCTTATTACGTGTTGCCTACATCTTGGCGCAATATTTTTAATAGGTGCGTTTTAATCATCCGCTTCTGCTTCGGAATTGTCGGTTTTCTTGTTTTAAGCTGATAGGTTAAAACGACTAAACCGACAATTCCGGAAGCAGAAGCGGATGATTAAAACGCACCTGATATTTTGCTCGCTGCTGTCAGTGTCAGTAAATATTATTTTTGAAGTCACAGTTTATTGCTAAAGAATCAGTTAGCTCACTCCGGACCAGTTGAAAGTTCCAAAATAACATCCACTCCAGGGATACAAATTCAGGATACGCAGAAGACTGCTGTTTTATTATAGGAGGTTGTCATATATTGTATTATCCGAGTTGCACAGTGTATAAACTGAAACATTGAGATCAAAAGTGCCGACGCAGAGTGAGCGATCTGATTATTTAGCTGTAAACTGTGTCACAGGGTTCAAAATGGCCGCGCCCTATGTTGGGCGTGTCGGACCTCTCTCTTGCCTCGTATAGTAATCAAAGTATGTGTGTTACTCTGATAATGAACTGAAATCCAATCAGGATTGAGTGAAAACACTGCAGCATACAGTGTTTTCAGATACAGTTTAATATCTAATATTATATTTAAAAGTAATTAAACATATCTCTTGTCTCATCGAGATAACAACAAATATTTCCAATATAGTGTTCTTAATTTTTTACTATTTTTATATTTTTAGGTTTGGCACCATTGGTACTTCAGGGATCTTGTTCCCAGTGCACCCCACAAGAACAAAGACAAATTAGAAAAGTTTTAGGATATATGCAAGTTAACTTTCCCAAGGAATGGAACAGGATTTTGAAAGAATATTCTGGATGAATGAAGATCTAGGCAGACAAATAGTTATAGAAAAACTTAAAAGACAATGAAAGATCAAACGGTTAATTCCATTTAGTCAATCTGTAGCTAATTTTCAAATATTTATAATATATGACCAAAAACGACTCTTATAAAAGCGGAAAAGTTTAGTATTATTATATTTTATATTTAATGTTCATTAGACTTTTAATGTTTTATATTAATTAAATTAGGTGTTACCACATTTACCTTCAAACAGTTAACTAATTTTATTTTGTTTATGAAGAGAAACATAAATTTTATTTTTATTTTTTAAAAATTGTTGTTTTGAAAATAAAAAGTGCATGCGCTGAAACAACTCCTTATGTTCATTTAATTAAGGCAAATGATGAAAAATTTGACATTTATTTTTTTAAATTTTCCAAATTCATTTTCTAAAATCTTTTATTAAAAGTACAATTTTAAAAATAATCCAGTCAAATTTTAATACAATTTAAAATGATTTTTAAAAATTTCGAAAAAAGTATCACAATATTTTAAAAACTAAAGAATATAAGCCAAAAATACAAGTCATTACATGCAGGTTTTTTTTATTTCTGCAGGGTGAAAAATACTTGAATTGTTATCATTTGAGTGCGAGTACCACCTTGTAGGAGCCCTTTAAATTTAAAAATTTCTAAGCCAAAGAATTAAGCAAATTCATCTGAAAACCTTGAAATTTTCTGCGAAATAGGTATTTGACCAATTAGATATTTATTAAATTAAAGAAGTTATCAATTAAAAACCAAATTGGTTTTTGATAAAAATTTCGTAGCATGCGAATTAGGGTAGGTTAAAAAGTATTGCCTTCAACTGCGACCTAGATGAATTATTTGTGGCTCAGGTCTAACTTATAGTTCACCGTATAAGCCACACCCTTTGATGAAGGTTATGTTTAAATTGTGTGAGAGTTGTTTAAAGTCGGTAGGCAGCCTACCTACCCATAAAGATCTGTATAGTCTTATTTGCGGGAAAAAAATGATTCAACTCTCTCCCTTAATTTTACAGTAATCATTTCTGCTTTGAAAATCGTAGCCAGAGAGCCTAGGTTGATAGATATGCCAACTCTTGAATTCTAAACAAAAACTTCCGCTACTACTCCTCTTTCAGTTTTGGAGCCGTCGGTGTACAGCGCAAAGTCCACCAGGAAGATAGTTTTATCCATCCTATTTCATACGTCTTCTTCTGGAATGAAGACACTGTATGGCTTTTCTATGTGTTGTCGGGAAATTAGAAAGTCTGAGATAATGCCAAGGATGGGATTGTTATTAATCTTACTCATCATTGTCCCATTACAGTTCTTCATTGCATTGACTAGATACTTTTAGAAGTCTATAGGCAACCATTTTGGCCTCTCTTTCCAGAAAAATGTAGAGATGTTAGTCCAGCATGGTCCCTATGGCTCCTGTCGGCGCGGTTGACATTGCTCATCCCCCGTGCTTTGCCGCAAATGTATAATATAGCATTTTTAATGATTTTTTTCAAATTGAGGGTCCAGGTGTTTCTTATCTAGGATAAACCTCAGATATTTTACCTTCTACACAATAGTAATGGTTTGCCCGGCCAAGGTAGGTTGACGAAACTTGTCGAGCTTTATTTTGTTGGTGTGTGGGACGATAACAGTTTTCCAGGATTTACAAGATATTTGCTTCCTCTCGCACCATCTGTTGATCGTATTTAGGGCTTGTTAAAGGATGTTTTAAATAATCTGTTCTTACTTATCCCTAATTATGGTTAATATCCGGATAGCATTAAAGGCCACTCTTTGCCGAGAGTTATCCACTAGATAGATCCACAGTAGGGGAGTGAAAGTACGCCGCCTTGTGGACATATTTCGGCAGGCCTGAAAGTGAATCTCTCTCCCTACAGTAATAGAAAGATATTCTGGTTTGCAAGCATGCTATTGATCCAATTACAGGTCAGTTTGTCAGCTCGTCTTCTTTTAATAAAATTGAACAGAGACTAAGTAAGGGCGTTATTAAACGCGCCTTCTATATCTACCCGTATTTTAGGAAATTACTGATTCTGCCTACTAGATTTTGCTTGCTTAGTAGGTACATTGGAAGTTTAATAGGCTTTCCCAAAGACATCTTTCTCCATTATGCCTATCTATAATTGCCTGTATTGTTTTCAAAAAAGGATGGGCAGATTGGAAGGTAAAAGCTTGGTAGAAAGGCATCAGGAATTGCCTCGAGTCGCTCTACTCCATATAATCCCAGAGGCAACGGCCAAATTGAAAGAGAAAATGGTACAATATGGAAGACGATATAGTTAGCGTTAAAATCAAAAAATTTAAAAATTTCTCAGTGAATGTGTGTTAAATAAAGCTCTTCATTCAATTAGGTCTTTGTTATGCACCGCAATAAACGCCACTACATGAAAGAATATTCAACCACTGTAGACGTTCAGTTAATGGACAATCTCTTCCCTCATTGTTAGCTGATACTGTCCCTATACTATTAAAGAAGCAGGTTTGTAAATCCAAGTATGAACCAATTGTGTAAGAAGTCAAACTATTGAAAATGAATTTTCGTATGTAAGAATGTCCGATGGAAAAGAAATAACGATTTCAAATCGTTATTCAGCGCCAAGAGGGAATATTATTGAGAATAGTTCACTTGAAGAAATTAAAGATAATAGTTGTTTGTTCCCTTCTTTTACTAATGCTCCCTTGACTCCCACTTTAGTGCCTACATCCACTGAAAACTTGAATTCTCCATCAGCTACTCCTGGAAACTTTGTTCAATTGAGTGAAAGGGTCCCTACTTCTTTAGAAAACCAAATTTCGAAATTTGTCTCTAGGAGTATTTTACCATCTGAAGAAAGTCGCCCAGCTAGAAACAGAAAACCTCCTTAATACCTCGAAGAATATGAAAGATTCTAAAGCCAATTAGTTCTTGGTTCAATAAGTTTATAACAAATTTCTATCACTAAATTTAATAATCCATCTAACTAACATAAAAATTCCCATCTGACATTTTATTTTTCCGCTGACAATCCATAATCCATTTCTCCAAAAACAAAAACATCCCTTCCAACTACTGTTATACCATAAAATTTACTATACTCCACAATGATATTGCTATCTCCAATTTCATGACATCATCCTGAAGTTTTCACATCAATATTTTTATTTGCTGAAAACACATTATTATATACACAATAACTGTTTTAGGGATACTATTTACAATTTAGTGTAATAATAAAAATATCCAGTGAATTTCTTTATATTCAGTGTTGGCCATTTATCAAACTTGATTAACTGGACAAACCCATCCATTTGTCGAAAATGTGATTTATTTGGGATTGTGTTTGCCACACACAATACTTTTTAATGGATTTATTTTTCGACAAATGCAGTGTCAACCAGGAGAGTAATTATATTAGTTACCAGACCGCTGAAACTATTGTGTTTTGACATAAAAGAAACACTTTATTTTTTACTTCTACGTATAATAAGTAAGTTAAAGTAGGAAATGCACTGAACATTTTTATTTTTCCGTTATTTGTGTAAATACAATTCTACAGTTCTTTACAGTATTATAAGAAAAAAATTATAATATCACCCATACTATATCCATGTGGTGCTTGATAGTAAAAGTTATGTACTTAATTTTTCTATTTTGTTTTAACATACTACGAGTGGTAGAAAACATAATTAAATAACTAATTTCAAAGGAATTATTGATAACTATGTTAAACTAAATGAAAACTGCATTATTTGCTAAACGATCGGTGATGGTATTTAACAACACATATTCGCCATATAATAATTTTATTTTTTTCATGTTAATCTCTATTTTTGACACGCCACTGTGCTCTGCCTAATCGCGTCTCCATAGTGCACTATTCTGATTGAGCACGAGGGAGCGAGAGATTTTCGTGAAAGGCTGTAGCTGAAAAGAAAAGTCAACACGTCAACATATCTGTGAAACAATCAATGTGCTTGTTTAAAATCACTTAAATCACGTTTTTTTGATAAGAAATATACTGGGTTTACCATTAATCCAAAATTACGTAACAATAAATTTGTTTAAATAATTGGTAAATGTGCTAACTTTATTAGCTCGAATACTTCTTGGCGTAATTTTGGAATAGTGGTGCGCCTGGTATATTTTTAACTGACATACTGATAATTTGATCTATTTTATAAATTTTTTATCAGAATTAAAAAAAAATAGAAGTTCCCAGGCACACCTACACCATAAAAGCACGCTCGTCCTCCCACATCCTAACTACCTTAGAATCGGACGGGTTCGGTTGATGTTTCAAAATTAGCCTGTGCCCTTTTTACACCTACACCGGAAATCGTGTGAATTTCGAAATCTCGGCCAAGAGCGCCCTTTTTACACTTGCACTGTAAGAGCACGAAACACTCGTTCTACTTACTTCCTAACCGCTACAGAATAAAGCGAACAAAGTAAGCGGTATTCGTAGTAACACATTCCATGCGCATGCGCATGCCGTCCCATGAATATACAACAAGAAGACGAAACAACCGATTTCTCGTATTAACCCATACCTGGCTACGTCAACCGATATCGACTCCAACGGCCTGGATACAGCTCAAATTAAAATAAAAAGTCTTACATAATGCATTATATTCTCGTAATCATCTGCTAATGCGTAAGCATAGAATGTGTTACTACAGAGGAAAGCGGAGGTGTGTTCGCCTCGCTTGCTTTTCCTGTACACGATGGATAAGGGTAGTATTCTCTTATGATGTAGATTGAAAGGGCGCGGCCCAGTCGAGGTTTCGGCACGCTAATTTCTAAACGCTGGCCGATCGCGCTTGCTTCGCTCGCTTTATTTTTTAATGGTTAGAAAGTGGATGGGACGAGCGTTTGGTGCTCTTATGATGTAGGAATAAAAAGAGCGCCCCCGGCCGACGTTTTGAAATTAGCGCGAATTTTGAATCGTCGGCCGGGAGCGCTCGCTTCGCACACCTGCTTCTGTGGTGGTTAGCAGAAGGGTGAAACTAGCGAAGCGTCAATCAGAC